GAGGTCCTCAGCAAGGGAGCCTAACACGACGCATGTGACTCAGGCTCCTGGTTAGTGTTTTCATACCCGCATGCCAGGTCTTAGCTTGACCACCCTTGGCTTCATTCCACCCACCATCTGCCTCGGCAAACATCGCTCGCCGTGGCAACTTATTTGGTGACATGCATAACACTTACCCCAACCGACCTCCATAAATTACCTATTGAGGTCTACCAGACAGCGGTGTTCGAGCACCAACAGTCTACCTTTATCCTGCTTTCTTAATGGTCATGTTTCTGCGCGGCACAGAAAAAATGCCGCAGCATACACTTGAACCTTCACAGACAGCCGGATGTCGCGACGGCGCCACAGATGTCTCAAGTTGGCAAATGCCAATCGAGCCTTTTGTACGCGCGCCGACATTTCATCTGTGATGCGTTCACCGGGTGAGATATAGCTGCTCAGATAGCGAAATTTGTCTACTTGCTCTATTACTTCCCCAGTTAGTGTGAGACTGGGTGCAGGACCAACCCAGTCTTAAAGTAGCATTTTGAAAACGCATACCGAACCTGGTTACGCTAGCACTCAAACTATCCAGAAAAGCTTGTAACTTGCCTGGATCTTCACCTAGAAGCACAATGTCGTCTACATGTTGTAGATCAGACAGCCTGCCACCTTGGAGTAAATCGATACCGTTATCCTCGCAGGAGGATAGGGCTGTTTCAAGAATTATCTATCACGAAGTTAAACAGCAACGGAGACAACCCTATCTAACACCACTTTTCGTGGTGAACTCGTGCGAAAACGTTCTGTAAGCTCGGATTCGACTTCGGCTTTTAGTATAAAGGGATTGCTTTATTGAAATAAACTTCTCAGGCACACCTTTCAGAGAAGGGCAGCGCCAGAGTTTAGAGCGATCGACTGAGTCAAAAGCCGCTTTCAGTTCCAGTAAGACATACATGGTGGGTCTACGAAAGGAATGTCGGTGCTCCAGAATTTGTGGTGATGAAAGCCTCTCCCTTTTCGAGTCTAATTTGAAACAGTTGGGTTCATCATTCATGGATTGCTTCATCATCCCCTTTTTGTTAATTCTACCTACACGTCCATTGTTCCGCGGTTACTCCTGTTCTTATCATTCTCCTATTTTCCTGCCAACTAACGGCATATGCTGCTAACCGTAATTTCCAAGACTCTGTTTCTAAGCCTGGCTTCCAGTCTTGACCACCACTCGAAAAATGGTCCCATTGCGAAACACTCCCTTTTAGTGTGACTCTCAGAATGCACAAATAACAACTACTTCGAATCGATCCCCCCCAACCCCACTCGAAGTACACATAGATTCCGTTTTAGAGTATGATTTTGACTAGTAGGTGTACTCATCTAATTGTATCTCAATATTGTTGTATGACACAAGTCTCGACAGTCATTTTGATTGATCACTTTCCATTGTGGCAATCATCAAGCTTTCGGTATGATCGTTTACTTTCGGTGTCCACTTATACAGGCCTGTTTGATGCAGTTCATTTGACTGGCTGGGAGCTGTAAATCCAATCATCCACAAAGGATTTGGAGAGTGCAGTTCAGATAATATTCAGTTTAATCCTTCTGGTTAGTTCGAAACATCGACAGAAAAATGATGAAAACAAAGCTGATGCGTTAAAACGTGCAAGTTTAACAACATCTGGTCCTTCGTCGATCTGTGGGATTCAATCAAGTGTTCTCAGATTATTCTGCTGTTTGAAACACTGGGTCCCCTTTATCCATCGCATCAAAGCCGAAAGAAGACATATGTCGCGAGATGTTAACATTTCGTCTAATCTTCTCAATCGCTGACGTAAAACAAACAAGCACATTTATAGCACATTAGATTTGTAAATCCTAGTGAACGGACATGTACAGTTAGACAGGGACTATTATAATTTAAAAAATACAGGTCAACTCCACAACAAGTGAACTGATTGGATCATCAACTTTTTGCAAAACACATGACAACCAAGCACATAATTGATCCCGCTTCCTCTTTTAAACCGTTGTTACGTAATTGTAATGCAAAACTGTTGGCGATAAGTGAGGATTACATAATCCCATTCTGTGTGCCCAAAAGTTGTTGATCCAATCAGTTCACTTGCCGTGGAGTTGACCTGTATTTTTTTAAATTTAATCGTCCCTGTCTAACTGTACATGTCCTTTCACTAGGATTTGCAAATCTAATGTGCTATAAATGTGCTTGTTTGTTTTACGTCAGCGATTGAGAAGATTAAACGAAATGTTAACATCTCGCGACATATGTCTTCTTTCGGCTTTGATATTCTGTTGTTGCTTATGGGCTTTACGTTCCGGCAGTAACTGGTGACAAAATCCTAGCAAATATGCGACTCCTCCAAATTGGCATGGTAACGATTGATAAAATTCGATTCACGGTACTTCTCAACGTCCTACTGATGAATCAACGCTTTTACGTCCTATGTCAGTTTTTAAACCATTTCTTTCTTCTCGTACCTTGCCACAAATTGTTACAGGTGGATGTAGCCGGTTATGAGAAAGCGAAAGAGGTTGCTCAAGCCCGTAGTCAAGCTGGCCCCGGTGGCAGTGGAACAGTTATTGATTTGGATGTTCACGCCATTGCTGACCTGCGCAAGAAAGGGTTGAACCCGACAGACGACATGGCCAAATATGACTACAGTGCGAACAAAGAAGGTCATTATGGTGAGTGAGTGAGTGAGTGAGTTACAATGATTTCTGTTCGTAATTTCCCGGTGATGTGAGTTCCTCCCATGAGCTATTTTGGTACTCTCAGCGGGCACTGATCCACTGTGAAACTCCCAATGTGCATAAACCTTGCTCTGTAATTCACGGATACGTGCGCTTCTGCCGAGTTTCAGCTTGATTTGACAGTCGGAGAGTGCATAAACGAGGTGGTTTTCTTTAATGGGCACCAAAAACTCTAGGGTACGAGGTATTTCGCGGTAGCCCACACAGATGAAGCGGATGCTCCTTGAGAACACCGACGGAAACCTTTGGCTCAAAACTCTGATCCGCAAGGCAGTAGGAATTTACGGGTTTTTCTTGAGAAACCCCAGCCGGGGTTCAGCGTAGATCCAACGCGGGAGCGTTGTCTTTGTTTCCTATTCATTCCGAAGCACTGGTTCTTAGAGTTGGACAAAACTTTCCGTTTAACTTCTCTAGATGGTTGACAATCAGAGAGAACCTGATTTCTAGAAAATCACTGCTACTGAGAATTGCCGGTGCTTCCTAGGGTCCCAAGATTAACGGAAACCAAGGTACCGCACAAAGTATTAATATATGATTATTCCTTTCGTTTCATCTGTGCTCTCGTGCTTCCTATTATGAGATATCAAGGCTATGCGCGACGCTATAAATCCAGCACGTCTTCCATCATTCAAACAGTTTTTCTAAGCATTCAACAATCGCTAAAACTATTGCAATTGTTTTCTACCTGGGAATCATTGTGACAAGTCTGGTGGGATAGGGTTCGGTGCTATTTTGACAGACAAAACGTAGTACAACAAATCGGTACTAACGTTCACGACAAGTGTTCTTCTCATCACATTATTATTAATATTATCCTTCACAAAGTATATTACAACGGGTAACTCCAGGTGCCAAGAAAGGGAGAGGATGGGAGCACAATATAAAAAAACGTCTTGCCTTTAGTGTAACCGGGGCGTTGGGGTTTCTCTGACTACGAGGCTCTCGAACAAATGTAGTATAGCTGTATGCTTATCAGAAACCCATACCAAGTACGGGGATTTTCTCTAGCAGTTCTCTTCGGAGCGCTTATGTGGCTACTCAAAAAAATGCTAGCATGACAGATAGTGAACCAACGTCAATATCTGGGGGCCCGATGTAGCTGGTTTGTTAAAGGTGGCTTAGATGCTATCCATGCATTGTGGTACCAGATTATTTTGTGCTCTTCACTCTGCAATATATAGGGTCAAAGTATTTCGTTTAAGCAGTTCTCGTCTGTTGTTGATCCCCGAGTTGCTCTAAACCGTACAGTTGTGTTGTACGGACGTATGGTTTTTCTGAGAAGCTGTTTGCTTCCCCCTCTTGTATATAGCATTTTTTATCTATGCATCGCTAAATTTGATCGGTTTATTCAGTTACCTGAACGACAGTTGTTTTTCACACCGGTGTTTTGCTCGGTGCAGACTTGGGTCGGTAGGTGGGTTTTGTGTTCAGCTCATCAATACAGTGCATAGATCAACGGTATCTCTTACATAATTGGAAGCATTGCGGCAGGTTGATAGATAACCATCAAATGAACACTACGATTGGGGAATGTTGTGTCCCTTCATTGGATACGGAATCCTGTCCCTGACTGAACTTTCCTAACGACTCTCCACTACCCTCCGATCAGAGAACTAAAGAGAGTAACTGTAAGGCCATGAACGTGTATAATTAGCACCGGAAAGTGGCGTTGCTACAACGGAGACTCATGCTTTATCGATAACGCCTTCGCACAACCTAGATTCTCTCGACTGGTAAGATACAGAGCATCAGTTAGACGGATGAGCCAATCAAGCCACAATGCTCGCTCTTAACTTTACTTTTGGCACTACCGTACCGGAATGGAGTATACCGAATTCTCGCGGCGGAGGTTGGTCCGAATTCGTTTTCCATTAAAGGAGCGAAACTCTCTGACCGATTGTTTTTGTTTGATGCAACTTCTCCAATCCATTGTTTATCGAACACAACTTCTCGAATTGATAAATAAATTAAACACTGCTTGTGCCAAGCCAGTCTCTGCTTATTGTTTAGAACACTTGATCTTCAGAGAATCAACGTTTAGGATGTGTACCAATACCGAGACCGAATTGTTCGGAGTTGAACTTGACTGAATAAATTTGTATCCATCGGTCTATCTATCTTTTGGCGTACTCCTGACCATTTGTATCCATCAATGGGACCCCTTGTCAAACTTATTTTACTGTTGACTTCCGTTCGTGCTAATTCAACCATACTGCTGAAATAATGATGATGAACTTACTCATCTTAGCTGTTTTCTCCATTCTTCTTATGTTCCCACCTAAGTGTTTTCGGAAATTGAAGCAACGATCTTAGCTATTCGATTGGAAACGGAATTCACCGATTCCGTTGACCAACCAGGCCAGGTTTGTGGATTTGTGCTGGACAAGACCATATTTTATGCGGAGGCCGGTGGTCAGCAAGCTGATCACGGATTTATCACGAATCTGAATGATGAAGTGAGTGTTTTCTTCGTTCAGGATTTCCGTTTTCCTTTGATGTCACTCTGCAAGCTCACAACACCACTGCAACTTTCCCTCGTGTTTTGGTTTACAGTCCTCTGAATTGGGTGTGACCGATGTACAATGTCGCGGTGGTTATGTGCTACACATCGGTCAATTAGAGGGCCGAATGGCTGTCGGTGACAAAGTTCGACTATCGCTAGACGCGGAACGTCGCTGTGGCCTGATGCGCAGTCACACGGGGACGCATGTATTGAATTTCGCATTGCGCAAGGTGCTAGGCGAATCAGATCAGAAAGGCAGTTTAGTGGCCCCGGATCGATTGAGATTCGACCTCTCTCTGGATGTGAGTAAATTTTGATTGGTTTTTATCCGTCTGTATTGAATGAGGTTTACCTCTTATCGCTTCAGCACTTATGGAACCAGTTGAACTGTTGAAATATTCCTTTACAAATTGCAGGGGATATCTAGTAGAAGTAGTTGTGCCTCCGGGCTGGTGGATTATCCTTTGTGGCTGATTCCACTTGTTCTCTATCATTTACCCAGCTTATGCATGTGGCTCCACTAAGCCGAGGCAAACATCAGCAGCCACATGCCGGCAGACTGCTGGACAGACGGGTTAAACCAGGTTCAGAATTAATAAGGTCGGAGACCTCTTCGGGAGGACGTTTGGTAGATGAAAAAAGCTGCTCTTTTGTGGGTGGACAAGGTATACTGCTCAATCCAACGGCGATAAAAACATTTGGCGAAGAAAGGGGAATGTGTGTGGACCCCTTGATTGCATTCGCATCTGTTGAATGGCGTTGGGCTCATGTGGTGCCACCGACAATCTGCACCTTCATTCTACTGTCCATTTTTTTGCATAAAGGTCAGATTTGCACCCTTGAAAAAAACCGGATGGTGGCGCTGAGGTGTCTGGTACCAACCCCACCAGTAAACTCCACGAAGCCGATTTCTCCTTGCTATGGAGAGTCAACCGCACGATGAAACGAACAAAAAGCACCGTTGTTTTTCTCTGTAATCCGTTTCTCCGCAGTTTCCTCAAATATACTCGAACCTCTTTCTATTTTCATTGTTGTTTTGATGGCACTATGCTTACTATCAAGTCGTTGATATATGTGTTTTGAATAGCTATTTGTTGTGTCGATCGGGTGCATTTGATAATTTCTGCCTAGATCTGACCATGTTTGATGCACGTGTGTTCGGTCGTCCCTACAGCATTGCATTAAATCCTTTGTATTGTCATAACCGTTTTTGCTTCCTTTTTATTTCCACCACCCTGTGTAGCGTGGTATGTCGAGTAAGGAATTACAAAGTGCCGAAACTGAATGCGCCCAGTTTATTCGCAGTTCAGCTGCTGTCCATGCAAAAGATGTTTCGTTGTCCACGGCCAAAGCTATTCAGGGTTTGCGCGCGGTCTTCGGTGAGGTTTACCCTGACCCCGTTCGTGTGGTATCCGTTGGCGTACCGGTTGAGAAGTTGGTTGCTGATCCNTGATCAAGCCGGATGAAATTATCACCACATGGAACCTTCAACTTCCCTAAGGTATCCACTTACGAGTTCATCTTTTCTTCTTCGATGTAACCGAAATGCAGTCCAGGATATGACCCCCTCTTTTGTGTTCTTCTGAGTGATTGGAATTCCTCCTACTCCACCCGAGGAAGAACAAACCAGAGATGTCCGTCAGAAGAAATACAACTACATGATCGTTCACAATTACCGAATTCGGTTGGAAACCATTCCCTTTGTTGGTTTGTTACAGGATTATCATCTTATCTATGCACGCGCAGAACGATGAGCTCTGGCTACTGTGATTGGACCAATGAGAATCGAGAATCCAGTGATAAGACGATTTCGTCAGCTGCGCACATATGTGAAAGGCCAGTCAACCGTTGGTCCGCACGCATTCTCATCATCCGTCTTCTAAAACTCATGTGAACTGTTTCACACTTAGTTGATCGGG